TTAACATCCCAAGTGGAATTATACCCGAAGAGGAAAAGAATATCCTTCAAGCCAAAATTCACAAGATCATCTTGTCTTTGGATAACCCACTCGAACAAATAATCGAGTGGCCAAAAAGCTTGGAAGAAGACATGAAGATTCGCATGGCCTCTAAAGAATACATCAAATGGATAGAAAATAAGCGTCCAATTGATGTCGAGCTATATGTCCCGTTGAGCGTGGTACCAGATCCTGTAGATGAGTAAGTCTCAGAATAATTGTTCCAAGCATGCCTGGAGTGGAACCTTATTCCCTGAAGAGGTCGTGATCGATGTAGAAGAATGGGAGTCTCGAGTCAAGGAATGGGTCAGAAAGGAATGGATTCGTCATGAAGAATCAAAGCCACTCACATTAGAGAAAACGAACACTATTAATTTGGGCGATAAAGAGAATCCTAAAGAAGTTAAGATTGGAGAAAGTCTTCCCTCAGCAGAAGCAAAAAGAATCACAGATTTGCTCAGAGAATATCAAGATATATTCGCATGGTCTTATGCTGACATATCAGGCTTTGATCCAAGCATAGTTGAACATGCTTTGCCAATTGATCCAAATATCCCACCAAAGAAGCAAAAATTGAGGCGAACGAAACCAGACTTGGCAAAGAAAATAGAAGAAGAAGTGATAAAATTGCTCAAAGTTGGTTTCATTGAAGTGGTACCATATCCAGAATTAGTTGCCAACATAGTATCCGTAATGAAGAAAGATGGTCGAGTACGGGTGTGCGTTGATTATCATGACTTAAATAAAGCAAGCCCTAAGGATGATTTCCCGCTTCCACATATCGATGTATTAGTGGATAGCATTGCTGGGTTCGAAACATTTTCATTCGTGGATGGTTTTTCAGGATATAATCAAATCCTCATGAAGAGGATAAGGCGAAGACGTCCTTCATAACACCATGGGGCACATTTTGTTACAAGGTGATGCCTTTCGATTTGAAAAATGCTGGTGTCACATATCAAAGGGCAATGGTAACTTTGTTTCACGACAAGATGCACAAAGAAATCGAGGTATATGTGAACGACATGATAGCAAAATCCAAACAAGGAGAAGATCATGTTGAGGTGCTTCGTAAATTGTTCGAAAGACTTAGAAAGTATAAGTTGCGGCTAAACCCCGACAAATGTGTATTTGGGGCAAAATCCGACAAACTGCTAGGGTTTGTGGTCAGTAGCAGAGGCATCGAAATAGATCCCTCCAAGATCAAGGCAATATACGACTTAAAAATTCCTTCTACGGTAAAAGAAGTGAGAAGCCTGTTGGAGCGATTAAATTACATTGCCCGTTTCATCTATTAGCTTTTTGAGACTGTTAAACCATTCTTCAAATTGTTAAAGAAAAATGCCAAAGTGAAGTGGGATGCGGAATGTCAACAAGCCTCTGACAAGATTAAAGAATATCTGGTATGCCCACCAATGTTGGTACCACTAATTCCTGGAGTTCCGCTAATCTTATATTTGACGATTCATTATGAGTCGTTAGGAGCGGTGCTTGTACAAAGAAGACCAAATGATGGTAAAAATGTAACATTCTGAATTTTCGATCCTTTTCCCGGGATTTATGAAATGAATATTTTGGTCAATGCACTTATAGTGAGATCTCACCCGGAACTGCGCATTCTCGGGATGCTAACCTTAGGGGTAAGGCTATCACGGGATTGAGTTCGCACGACCAAAGAACTCGACCTTGGTTCGACCTTCGATCATAAGGATTGACGAGGGAATGTTTTGGGCCAACAGAGACCGATCTATTTGATCGATAGTGTCCGAAGGGAACTAGCGACATACCCTCGCAATTACATGACAATCGAGGTCCCCTTGGCTCGAGCAAACTTAAACGTGACTTGATTTAGTGTCGGTCACGGGTCGAAAGCGCGTAATCCCAATGAGCCACCCGTTAGTAAGAGATAAGCTAGAGTCGCGATTGTTCGATTTTAGTTATTTCTTGGAATCCGGGCCCGGGAATCGGGAATTTTGAAAGTGACAATTTTTAGCGGCCGATGACATTTTTGGTGTGGCCAACCTTGGGGCCACCCATTTTTTTAAATGGATTTCGGTTCGGGACCGGAAAAATGACTATTTTGCCCTTGTGCACCGCGAACGAATTTGGAAGACTGGATTTAAATCGGGGGTATGATAATTAGCCTGTATGGCCGAAAAATAGAAGGGCAAGAATGCCCCTCTCCTACCATGGTCAATTATCTTTTTGCCCTTGAATTATTGGATAAGATTGAATGTGGGCCGTTGGATATGGATAAGATTGAATCTTGGCCCTTGGATTGGTGTGTTAGTTAGAGGGGTAGATTGGTAATTTCCGGTGGGGTTTTAGAGACCAATTATTGGGGGCGACATATATATATTTATTTCTCTCTCTTTCTCTCTTATAATCCACTCTCTCTCTCCTCATCCCCCACCGATCGGAAGCTCTCTCTTTCCCTCCTTCCCGGTGCGTGAGCCGAGCTTGGCCGGCCACCAGCTGCCCAGCCGCCTAGTCGCCGCCGGCCAGCCATCCGCCGTTGCTGCTTCTTCTTCCTCGGCCGCGCCCCACCGTCCGCCTGTCTTTCTCTCTGTCTCACCCTGTCTTGTTCAGCCCAGCTACCACCGAGCCACCCCCGATTATCCTCCCCTGGCCCATACGTCCCCATAGCCACCCGATCGCCGCCTGCCAGCCGCCCGTCCACGGCGTTGCCGCCGCTCGCCCGCCTAGCCGCCAGTGCCGCTGCTCGGCTGCTGCTTCTGGTCCGGCTGTTCCGACCACCTGTCCAGCCCGTTTGTCACCCCTTTTTAAGGTAAGTGACTCCCCCAAACCCTCCTTAGGACCTCGGGTTTTGCTGGACATGTTTAGGACTCGGTTCGGGTAATTTAGGGGCTGTTTGAGGCATGTGAAGGAGGCTGGATATTAGGTTGTTATGGATTGATTTGGTGACTGAATATGTGCGGTTTGGAAGGCTCGGATAGGGCTGCGATGATGCGGCATGACTGTGACTGAATTGCATGATTGATTGGTAATGTTATGGCTTGAATGAGCTTATGTGAATGATTGTGTGGCGATGTGACCGTGCAATGAGGTCGCGTGCCAAGTATGTGTGGACGTGTAATGTACTCGCGTGACGAGGATGTACATTTGCGAAATGTATGTGTAGCGTGAGATTGTGTGGCCGTGTGTTATGTGTGGTCGCGTGGTACGTGTGGTATGATGGTACGAGATGGTTTGAATGGCTGGAAAAGTGGTACCCTGAGGCGTGTTCGTTTACGCGGGGTAGGTTCCGTCCTGAGGCGTGTTACGCGGGACGATGCCGTCCCTGACGAGGTGACGATGCCCGGCCCGACGGGATGACGATGCCTGACGAGGTCAGAAGACCGTTAGCCTGATGCGTTTTACGCGGGCGCGGTAGTGATGGAAAGTTGAGAATGAGCTGGACTTGGTTTGACGCACGAGACTTGTGAAAATTGACGCATGGTGTGAGTAGCGTGCGAGTGTGGTTTGCCTCGCGTGACATAGTGTTTGATGAGTAAGGATGTGAATGGATTGGCTGTATTATTATCTGACATGCAGGGATGTACATGATGGATCCCAGGTAGGATCGCATGTGATTGTTGGTATGACTGGTTATGTGTGTTAAGCATGTTTTGTCTGGCGGTACGTGAGAGCCTATGTGGGGTTTGGGGTTGTGCACTTATTGAGATTCGTCTCATAGTTGTATAACCACAATTTCAGACCCCCAGCCATGAACCCAAGAGGCCCGCCTCCTCGTTTTGGGATCCCTAGTCATGTGGATCATCAGGAGGTGGAGTACCCTTTAGGAGACGACCGAGCTTTCGTAAGGCACTCGAGCGTTGTTTGGGTTGACGAGGGCGGATTACACCTGAAGTCGTATTCGTACGTGGCGTGGACTTATCGAGATGGCGTGGAGGAAACAGGTCCGCTGAGAAGTTTCGACATCCCTTTCTATGGCGTTGGCGAATGGGACCCTTTGGCAATCATTCCTCCTGATGGCGAGATCGTTGATCCGGAGGAGCCATATGAGAAGCCATTCACAGTACCCCCAGTGGAGCCGTTGGCTGTACAACCATTGCAGGCGGTCCCTCCATATCACGATCCACGTATTCCTCCGGGGTTCGAGCCAGAGGACTCAGGAGAAGAATGGAAGGAGGGTGATCCCTAGGTTTCACCAGGGTATTTTAGGGTTGTATAGACTAGGTCTGACCAGTCACTTTTTGGAAGATAGGTTGACCTATAGTGAAGCTAAGCTAACCCAACCACCCGATCCTTTTTGTTATGTCGGTAGTTTTTTTATGCTCGTTTGCTAAGTTTGTATGTAACGTTGTTTGTATGCTCGGTACGTTGAAAGTGTATATAAGTTAATGTTGTTAGTTCATTGACTGTCTTGATGCTCTACCCCGTCGTTATCTTTTTAGTACGGGCGTTTTGATATTCATTTCCGCATGTGCTTCTGATCGTTTGGGTCGGCGATGTTTTCCTGGGACGTCATATTAATTCGACCAAGGAAGGATGTCGCGAGCTCGATGGGGTTCGGGACGTGACACCCCCGTTTGATTTGGTATCAGAGCAAGGGTTAGCTCGATACAAGTAAGGTCGAGACCTGGAGTGATAAGGAGCGACGACTTCGGGGTAGTCAGTTAGGGAGCCCTTCGTAGAATGCGTGTGTATGGGGATTGTGCATGTCCTATGAGTACGCGCTTGTGGTTGCTGAGTGGTTTATTGCGGTTATAATGTTGATTGAGACTAAGGAGCGGCAGGACTTGAGGTGAGTACAAGAACCCTGTTAGTTGCTTGGTGATGTTGGTTTGATGTTACTCGATTGATTTGATGGTTGGTTGTGGTTATTGAGTGTTGGTTGTTGAGTTTTGTGCCTAGGGCTTGGACTAGTATAGTTGGCCTAGGTCTCTAATTCCTGTATGGAATTATAGCAGGTAGGAGGGTAGCGTGAGCCCGTGAGAATGAATAGGAGAGGTGCAGGAGCGGGAGGCTCGTCGAGCTCTCAGATTTCGATCGCAAAATATCCGCGTATGGAAGGAGTTCTCAGGGTGTTAGAGGGGATTGGGAATTTGATGGATAGGCAAGCTCAAGAGCGAGCTAATGCGACCGCTCAAGCTGCAGAGGCTGTAGCTGCTTTAGTTAATGAGAATTCGGGTAACGGAAATGGGAATCGACAGATGCATCAGTTAGTAGAATAATTTCTAAAGCTGAAACCATCAAAGTTTGAAGGAGTAGGGGATCCAGAGGCTGCTTCTAAATGGGTTGAGGAGTTAGAAAAAGCTTTTGCTTTATTGGGGTGTACTGAAGCAGAGAAAGTGACACTGGCAATGTACCAGCTTCAGGGTAATGCAAATGATTGGTGGAAAGCCACGCAGGGCCGAGTGTTCCCTACGGGCGTGGATCAGAATTGGACGACCTTCGTTCAGGCTTTTAATGAGAAGTATTTCTCGGTAAGTGCTCGAGAAAGGAAGATGACGGCTTTCGTTAGACTGCAACAGAACCAAATGACTGTGGATCAATATGAGGCAAAATTTGCCAGACTGTCTAAGTTTGCACCGAGAATGGTAGACCATCCTGAGGACAAGGCGCGAAGGTTTCGGGATGGATTGAGGGCTGACATTTGCAGTCAATTGATACCGGTGAATTTGAGAACTTATGAGGAATTATATGAGAGGGCTCAAGCTATCGAGCATGATATGACAGATAGAGCTGCCGCGTCTAGATCACGTTATACCTCAGCCAGGGACAATCGTCAGTAGGGAAAAAGGCCGATGATGGGAAACCGACGTTTTGTTCCTCCGGCAAGGAGGAATATTGGGAAATCATCACATTAATCTAATTCAGCCTGTAGACGTTGTGGGAGACATCATGGGAGTGGTCCCTGCCCAAGCGTAACTGGGGCGTGCTTTGGGTGTGGTGGAATGGGACATCACATAAGGAATTGCCCGAATCAGCAGGTTCGACCACCCCCATCATCGCAGACACCTCGGATTGGGAATCCGACTAGTGTAGCCCCGTCGGCTAATCCGAACAAACCGCCGGCACAAGGACGTGTGTACGCCATGGCGCGAAAAGAAGCTGAGAATGCGCCAGGCGTAATCACAGGTATGGTTTCTCTGTGTAATTATGTTGCCTATGCTCTATTTGATCCGGGGGCGTCGCACTCGTTTGTGTCTGCTCAGTTTGTTGAATTGGCTGGATTGAAACCCGTTTTATTAGAAGTGCAATTATGTGTGACTACACCGTTGATGGATAAGATATGCATATCGTTAGGATGCCCAGATTGTAAAATAGTAATTAGTGGTGTAGAAAGCAGGATAGATGTGGCTGTGTTAACCATGTATGATTTTGATGTGATTGTGGGCATGGATTGATTAGTCAAACAGAATACTGTAATGGACTGCAGTAACAGGGTGATTCAGTTTAGTCCGGCTGGACACCCTGGATTTGAGTTTGTAGGGAGTCGAGGAGGAATCTCGATCCCTTGGGCTTCATCAGTAGAAGTAACCAAATTGTTGGATGAGGGGTGTCATGGTTACTTAGCAAGTGTGGTGGATTTAACGGCAGAAGAAATGCGGCTATATGATATAGCAGTGGTGTGCAACTTTCCCGATATTTTTTCCTCAGGAATTGCCGGGATTGCCACCAGAAAGGGAAGTAGAGTTTGTTATCGAGTTGGCCCCTGGAACCGAGCCAATCTTGAAGCCGCCTTATAGGATGTCGTTGTTGGAGTTGAAAGAATTAAAAGTTCAGATGCAGGAACTGTTGGATAAGGGTTTTATTCGACCGAGTGCGTCTCCATGGGGAGCGTTAGTTTTATTTGTAAGGAAGAAGGATGGCTCGTTGAGACTGTGTATTGATTACCGCCAGCTGAATCATGTGACAATCAAGAATAAGTATCCTCTCCCAAGGATTGATGACCTGTTCGATCAATTGCAAGGAGCCTCGGTATTTTCTAAGATTGACCTAAGGACGGGATATCACCAGTTGAGAATCCAAAAGGAGGATATCCCAAAGACGGCATTTAGGACGATGTATGGACACTACGAGTTCACGGTAATGCCGTTTGGGCTGACTAATGCCCTGCTGCTTTCATGGACTTAATGAATAGGGTATTCAAAGAATTTTTGGATCAGTTCGTAATTGTCTTTATAGATGATATTCTGGTGTACTCAAAGAGTCCTGAGGAACATGAGTACACTTGGAAAAGGTTCTACGAACGTTAAGAGAGCATGTACTGTATGCTAAGTTTAGCAAGTGCGAGTTTTGGCTTAATCGAGTAGCGTTCCTTGGACACGTGATCTCCGGAGAAGGAATCTCCGTAGATCCGGTGAAGATTGAAGCAGTAATGGATTGGCCAAGACCGACGACAGTTACTGAGGTTCGAAGCTTTTTAGGTCTGGCAGGTTACTATCGCCGATTCGTGGAAGGATTCTCAGCGATAGCCACTCCACTGACCAGGTTACTTAGGGTGCGCATGACAACTATTCTGTGCCCGGGAACTATTTCTGAACAGAAATGATTTTTTTTATTCTGTGCCCGGAAATAATTTCTGAGCATTTGAAGGCGTTTGGTAACTGTCCAAAATTTCTATTCCTGGAATAGAAAAAGAACAGAAATGCGTTTGGTAACTGCAGAAAATTTCTATTCCTGGAATAGAAAAAGAATAGAAATGTGTTTGGTAACTGCAGAAAATTTCTATTCTAAATTTTTTTGAAGTGCTTTTTAAAACTTGGTATTAATTCTCATGGAGCACTTACCAATTTTATTTTTTTCTTGTAAGTGAAGGAAACATGGTGATATGTATAAACATGGTATATAGTTGGTACAAACTCTTCCCTCTATCACTCCTAGCGGTGTATACCGTATTTTGACTTTACCGTATTTTTGCTCATATCGAAGAACTTGGAATTAGAATGGAAACATTACTCCAAATCCAAATATTAGGTGAGTGCTTGTATTGAAGACTTTAAGATGAATCTCATCTAAATCCTTTTCCTTTTTTTCATTATGGAGAAAATTTTTGTGGATGTTTTATTAGTTAAAACTTTAGGTATCACAAAGAAGTGCTGGCAGGAACTTATGTAAGTCCAACTTCCCCCTAAGCAACTACCTAAGCAATCTTGTATAAACAATTTTGACTGGACTAAAATTGCACCTTGAGTTACTATATTTTTCGTTGATCGACTCATGTCATACCATCAGTAAAGTACATGTAATAAAACAAAAGGAAATGACAAAAGTACATGTAAGGATCATCTCCCATCGTCATGTAGTATTTAAAAATAATATTACAAAAGTCAGAAACACAAATCATGGAATCTCGGGCAGATTGTAATCCCTTGCCATTTTATTTGCAATACTTTTCCTAAGCATGTTTATCTCAGCTGCTTGCTCAAGTGGTGTATCATCCGCAACTTCCACTTCTCTAGCTCCAAATGGGTAGTCTGGATCTCCATAATGGGAAAAGTTTTTGTCCATCTTGTCCTCCTCACGAATGTAATTATGGAGAGCACAACATGCAATTACAATAAGTGCTTGCTTTTTTATTGTAAATGGGGGCATGTGTCTCAAAACGGTGAAGCGATTCTTTAATGCCCCAAATGACCTCTCAATGACATTCCTTAGTGAAGAGTGCCTATGGTTAAACAATTTTCTTGCTGTGCTTGGCCGTCTTCCACGCCCCCTATAATCGTTCAAATGATACCGTTCACCTTTAAACGGAGTTAAAAATCCCGGAAGTGATGCATAACCAGAATCTACCACGTAGTATTTGCCTATAACATGGTACATATAAATTTGTTATAATATGCAATCATAACAATCATAAAGAAATTTTTTCTTATAGACAAAGTAAATACCTAGTGGTGGTCGAGGAAATTGCAGTCCAGGAGTCTCGAGTGCTGCCGAAAGCACCCGACAATCGTTGGCAGATCCTTCCCACCCAGAATACACGAAAGTAAACTTCATATCAAATGAACAAACACACAGCACATTCTGGGTGGTATTCCCTTTCCTACCTCTATATGGGACCTGCTCAGACACAGGGACGGAAGCATTGATATGGGTGCCATCAATAGCACCTACGCAGCCCTGTGCATTTATAAAAATCTAATGTTATACAAGATTATCAACTACATATATTTGATAATGTAAACTCAAAAAATAAAAACCATACCTTGAAGTATCGTTCATGATTATGATTCATAAGAATTTCCTGTGGAACAACATCAAAGGACAGTGGTTTGATAACTTCCTTTGAGAGTTTGATAATTGCTTTCAACACTATATTGAAATAATTGCTAATTGTTTGTCCTGAATGTTGGAATCTCTCACATAAATCTCTATTGGAGTTATTGTGACAAACCATAGATAAGAATATCCCAACTTGTTCATCTATCCTAATAAACCGACTATCTTTCAACCAACCTTTTGCCCTCATTAATTCACATAGGTTCAGAAAAACATGTCTCTCCATCCTGAAGGCTTCATAGAATCTATCTGAATGTTCATAAACAATCTCCCTTATCCATTCAGGTCCTGATAGTTTGCTATCCCTAATAGGTTCTCTCATATGCATGGACATGTCCTCCGCAATGATGCACGACCATCCTATCAATATATATACATCATCATCATCTAATAATTGTTCATCTGGATCTACCTGCCCATTAGACACACTATTTGATCCCCCTTCCATAGTACCTATATTATCAAACAAATACAAGAACATCAATATAGATATGTAAAAAAAAAAAATCGAATCACAACCAATAACATAAGTCATAAAGTGAAAGCAAACCAAATATATAAATAGCACCTAAACAGTTTGGTGTACCCATGGCACCACAAAAGTACAAGAGTCTCAAGATCAATATCTCTAAAAACCAAATATCAAGTACTAACATAAGTCATACAATCAAATGAAACCTCACACAATCAACAGTACATTTCCCAACATCTAGTAAAGAGATTCAATAAGTGCATTTTTCCATTCAGCTGGGGTTTTGATGAAAGCCTCCCTCCATGCGGCACTAACACATGCTCGTTCTATAGCTTTGCTATAACGATCTGGTCCCAAGTCGGGCATATTAAGTAGGCTATCAATGACGGCAGATACGGAGTAAGGGTCCACAGGTGGTTCTGTGACCCGTGAGGTGGCAGAGCCACTCACAGATTGACCTGTCTTAGTTTTGATCAGCTCCTGTATAGCTTTGCAAGTGTCAGCAATGCAAGATGAGGTATTCTTTCTTCTCCTCTTGGCATTTGGAGTCCTATCCAAACGGTGCTTCACATGAACTGGATCGGCACTATTGCCGGATGTAAAGACTGTCTCATCAATGTGGTGATCACTCAAGTCCTTTAGATCACTGTCTGCATCGCCACCACCATTGTCACCTTCCTCTGACACCGTCAAATCTTCGGCATTTCCTATAGCATGCTCCCCAGTAGCATATGTACCACCAAATACAATACACAGCTCAGGATACAGGGGAAATCCATCCTTCTTGAATTTTGTCCACTCACTATTATCCTACAATTTTCACAATAATAACATGTCAAAAACATAATGAAACATTTTAAAACTTACATGTACAATGAAATCAAAATAATCAAAAGTTAAAAGATACCTTGATGTGAGATTCCCAAATACTTGGATCGTCGACAACAACAGTTTTATTCACATTATCCCAGCCAAATCCGGATTGCGAAAGAAGCTTCTTAAAACTACCATATTGTTTCCTCAGTTTGTTCACCTTGTTCTTCAACTGAACTAGGGTATATTGGTATCCTGACTGTTTAATGAATTCAGTCCGTATATTATTCCACCCAACTTTGTTGTAAGTAGAAGATGTGCGATTTCCCTTTTTGACCTCCTTAACCAACAAACTTACAAACATGTTGGTTAAAGGCTCAGTCCACTTTGCATTGAATATCTCTTTTTGAGATGCCATTTAACCTTGATAGATTGAGAATCATATGAGTCATGCATTAAATCAATAACATAGTCATGTAAAGATAAGAGAAGAGAAAAAAATCACGCCCCGCATAACATCCAAACATATCACTAGTAAGATGATGTTCCCACAGTTCGTCGGATGCTGATCAATAAAGCTTTTCAAGATTTTCCTCCATTGAAGGACCCATAGGAACACGACCTGCTTACAAATTACTCGAACGACCCGAGCGAGCAGATCGCTAGAAGCAAAATACGCGAGGAGGAAGGGGCCAAGAAGAGGGACAGGAGACGCCACTCGACACAAGAACTAAGGGAGATTATAAGGTATGGAAGATGACACGAACAATATCATTTATCATATGGTGCTTCTTCGGATGTTACACACGCACCCAGGAATCAGTTTTGAATAAAACCTCAGCAGTCCATACATACGGCTTCTTGATGATGACAAAACATGCAGAGATGACAGTAGAAGATAAGGTGCAGGGTATCCGACTCCAAAGAACATTTACAATACATACGGCTTCTTGACTAGTGATATGCTTGGATGTTCTGCGGGGCGTGATGTTATTGTCAACATATAACTCACTGTAAAGATAATTCAAACTTGCTCACTGACAACTATTGAAAAGTACACCCAAACAGCAGTGCAAATTCAATATGCTTGCCTAGACACTAGAATGTTAATACTCCTAATGGTCTTCTTATGCGCATACTGCACAATATAATGCACCTACAGAACAAATATAGATTGTCCACCATGAATAACCACAAGAAAGTCTGCCTTTGCGATAACCACAGGTGAGGATTTTACCTTTGCGAATCAACTTGGACAAATAATAGAAAGCAATGGACAGAAGCGTGGAGATGAATCCAGGCGTAACGAACTTCTACTGAAATTGACTAATCACCAATTAGCTTGTTCAATCTACTAAAAAAAACAGAATAACCATTTAGTAAATGAAAATCACCACCCCAATGCAAAAAGGATCGCCGTTGTGAAAAGCAACAGAAAATTAACACAAGACAATTACCAATGACCAACACCATATCACCATAGTTGCATAAAACAACTTCGAGCGAGCGCGGCCCTCACCCAGATTTGCGAGGGCGGCGGTCGCTCGAGCGAGAAGGAGCCCAAATGGGTGAGGGCAGCGCCCGCTCCAGCCTCACCGTCGCCCAGATCGGCGAGGGCCGCAGACGCGCTCGCTTGGGCAACCGTCGCCGATCTAGGCCACGGCTCGCTCAAGTAAGCACGGCCCTCGCCGATCTGAGTGATGGCGAGGCTTGAGCGAGCGCGGCCTCGCTCGAGCGACCGCAGCCCTCGCCCAGATTCGCGAGGGCGGCGGTCGCTCTAGCGAGAGCGAGCCTAGATAGGCGAGGCCAGCGCTCGCTCGAGCCTTGCCGTCGTTGATGTGGGCAAGGGCTCACTCGAGCGAGCGCCGCCCTCGCCTGTTTGGGCGACGGCGAGCTCGAGCGAGCGCAGCCCTGGCCCACTCGCTCCAGCTTGCTGTCGCCCAGACCGGCGAGGGCAGCGCTCGCTCGAGTGAGCCCTTGCCTAGATCGGCGATGGTTGCTCGAGCGAGCGCCGTCGAACGAGAAGGAGCAAGTCATCAGCAAGAACTTACCTCGAACGAGAAGGAGCAGCCTCGTGGGTGAAGGAGCAGCAGCGGTGAAGGAGCAGAATAGAACGAGCTCTGCGCAGGAGAGGAGTAAAAAGTGATTCCAAAATTGTTTCTTATTTTGGAAGCTCAGCGCTTCCAAAATTGTTTCTTATTTCTGTGCCGAGAAACAAGAAGCTAGTTTTTTTTGTTTCTTGTTTCTCCTCCAAAATTGTTTCTGGGCATAAATTTTTGTAAAATTGTGCCGGGGAATAAAAAATTTACCAAACGCATTTCTGTTCACAAACTGTTTCTGGAAACAAAAGAACGGAAATTTTTACTATTTGGCACGTTACCAAACGGGCCCTTAAGAAGGAGACGAAATTTGAATGGACGGAAAAGTGCGAAGAGAGTTTTCAGGAATTGAAGCAGAGATTGACAACTACGCCAGTACTAACAATCCCTTTAGGACCGGGAGGATATGAGATTTATAGCGATGCTTCACTTAAGAGATTGGGATGCGTGCTAATGCAACATGGAAGGGTGGTTGCTGTTGACACCTATTTTTTAGCTCATTTTTGTCATATTTTCAAAAATTTCAAAATTAGGTCTAGGGATCTTGGCCAAGCCTAGAAACCTATTTCTAAACAATAATAATAATTTTTTAGCATTTTTCTGCATTTTTTCTTAATATCTTTTAGTCAAAATAAGCAAGAAAATCAAGAAAAATAGTAAATGGAATCAGAAAATTCCATAAAAATAGTCAATAATCTTATTTTAAATTCAATTTCATAAATACACTATCAATTTTAGAAAATTTCAATCGGGTACATGTTTTTCCCAAATTTGGGCAAAATTAAACCTAAATTGGACCAAAAGTGAAATTAAATTTTTTCTAGACATTTTTAGGTCATAGTGTCTTCACAACAATTGATTCCGGGACCTTTAATTGCATAATGGTCAGTCCAATTGCACAATTTGTTGTAAAAATCCAAAATCCCCAAAAATTGATTGAAAATTAGGAATTTTGAACCTAAATTGGAAATCGTGCCCAAAATGAAATTTTCGAAACATGAGATTATTATTTTTAGGGTTAATCGGGGGTGGGTAATGCAATTTTGGCATCAATTTTTCCTAATCAGGTCATTAAGACCTCGAATTGAACAAAACCTATTAACCCGGATATAAAAATGAGAAAATTTTGGGTACAATTATAATCAAAATTGGGGAAAATTGTATGTTTGGGTTCGGAACATACTGGCAAATTCAATTTTGAGGTCGAATTTCGAAAATTTGGTGGAAATTGGGTTTAATTCGCGAATTTAAGCAAAACCGGAATTTCCGGGTCGGACGGGTCAACCCGACCCGACCCGAACAATGTCGTCTTCCTCACTCGGTTCATTCAACCCGCGAAAAACCCAGAAAAACAAACTTAAACCCAGAACTTTGCCGATCGTTTCCCGTCAATTCGACACGTGGAAATTGATTAGGCCAGCTGGAAAATGTCCAGCTGGCACCGATTAACAACCCTAAACTGATTAGAGTTCGGTTCCAACCGATTTTGAGCGGGAAATCAATGAAAAAAAAACTAGAAAAACTGACCCGAACGAGGAGAAGGTGTTCGACGAAATTCCAGAACGAGAAGAGAGAGAAAGAGAGCGAAACGTTGAAAAATTTAGAGAGAGTGAGGGTTAGAGGTTCCCCCGTGAGTGTTCGGCGCCGCCCTAGACGGCGGGGCGCCGGCGAATCACGAGTTGACCGTGACCTCCCCTCGCCGTGCCAAGCCGAGAAACCTGACCGCGAAGGCCTGAAATCAAGTGCTGTCCGATCAACTTGGACCTGTTCCGGCGAAACCGAGCACACCGGGAGGAAGATCGAGAGTCAAGGAACAATCCCCAGGGCCCCGTTCGGTTCAACAATTTCATCTGATCGTTGGACGAATCAGGTAAAAACTCATCCCGATCAGCTTTATTGAAAAATTCCACAATGTGGTTTTGTCATCGATGTGCATGTTTGAGTGATTGCTTTGACTAATCTTGGTATATTGATGTTCAAAACATGTTTTTGACCATGATTTATGTATTTGATTGCATTTGTGGATGAAAAATGGCATAAACCGAGTCAGCCACGTTTTAGAACCTCTTCGCCGGGGCTCCGGTGACCTCGCCGGAGCAATGCAGTGGTCTTAGACCATCCAGGTTGGTGTACTTCGACCTTTGTTTGATGTTTGGTAGTGATAGGAATCGGTTTAGACGGCTAGGGCGATTGGAATAAGGATTTGAAGCTTTGAAAAACTCGGTTTGGTCAGTGGCGACTTAGGGTTTTTGATCGAGTTTTTCGCCGGCCGGCAAACATCCACTGGCGTGCCGAATAGGGTAGATTGAAAATAGGATGTGAGGACATCACAATGGTGCAATCATATTGATCAAAAGGTCACCGGAGGCTTGTCGACGGTGAGCTCAAACCGGCGACCTTGAAAACCCTAACACATAATTCACGCACACCAAGTATTTGGGGAAATGCCTGAATGAAAGATGCCAAAAACGGTGCCGTTTTGGCACCGTGCCCGCCGGAGAGGATGATCGGCGCCGGCGCCGACGCCGGCGACGGCCGGTTCGGTCTCGGCCGAACCGGTCTAAACCAGTCCGGTCCGGTTCAACCCCCGGCGGGAAAATTCAAAAAAAATTAATTAAAAAGAATAATAAATAAATAAACAAAAAAATACAAAATACAAAAATCCTAAAAAAATAATAATAATAAAATCACAAAAATCATAAAAAAAAATTAGAAAATTTTGAAGAAAATGTATAAAAATCAGAAAAATTACAGAAAATTCAGAAAAATAGAAAAATTTTCGGAAAATTCATAAAAATTTCAAAAAAATTCATAAAATACAAATAAAATTTTGAAAATTCTGAAAAATCAATAAAATATTGAAAAATTGGAAAATTCACAAAAATTGCCAAAAAATCATAAAAAGAATCATTTCTCGATTTAAAAATTTTTTCGAAAAAAAATATTCAAAAATTTTGAAAATCCACAGAATGATTAAAAATCATTGTGGCCAGTCATGAAAAGTGAAATTTGGATTTTCCAAAATGCCTAAGTGGCATAATTTGGAAAATTCCAAATTTAAGGCCAAAACCCCTAAAAACCCTAAACCCTAAAAAATGAAATGAACAAGCTATTAGAGCTTTGTTAGGGTTTTGGTAGGCCTTCATTTCTAGTGACCAAATTATGGTTATTGTGATTGATTTGCCATTGGATGTGCAGTTGATTTTTGGATGTTTAATTGATTGTCCATGGATAGATTAGTGAAGTGACCTTAGGGATCCGTGTGATACGCTAGACATGCCATATCGTTCTTAGGTACCGAAAGGGCGTTAATGGTCTCAATTTGGGATCGTTAACATAACCAAGTCCCTTATCCAGAATCTTTGGTTCGTAGGATTGCGGTACTTCTCCCATACCACAATTAGGTTTCTAGTCGACCTACCGTAAATGACTAGTGGTGACTCCAAGTTTAAATTTAGATCAAACAAACCCCGCTGTCACGTGAGGTATGGTCTGGGAGAGGCCCGTTTAGAAAAATACCTCCATCAGAAAGCACGCGAGAGTGTGGCGCGACAGTTGCTTATGCATCGCGTCAATTAAGACCTCATGAGATGAACTATCCGACTTATGACTTGGAACTGGCAGCCATTATTTTCGTACTTAAGATTTGGAGGCACTATTTATGTGGAGAAAGGTTCCAGATTTATACGGACCATCAGAGTCTCAAGTATTTATTTTCTCAAAAAGAACTAAACATGAGACAACGTCTTTAGATGGAGTTGTTGAAGGACTATGACTGTGACATTTTATATCATCCCGGAAAGGCCAACCGGGTAGCAGATGCCCTAAGTCAAAAGTCGAGCATCGCGCAATTAATAGTCAAAGAATGGATCTTATTGGAAGGAGCGCGAGACTCGGAGTTTAAATTTGAGGTAGGACATCTCTCCAGTTTGGTGGCAACGTTAAGGATTGAACCGGAAGTGCAAACCAAGATTAGGGCATTACAGTCTACAGACCCCGAGATTCAGAAGATTCTAGAAATGGATGATACTAAGAGGAAACCAGACTTCCAAGTGTCCGAGGATGGAATTCTGAAATTTCGAGGACGTCTGTGCGTGCCCGGCGATTTGAAACTTAAGGAAGAGATTTTATTGGAGACTCACAGGAGCAATTATAGCATTCACCTGGGCAGCACGAAGATGTACCGAAACCTTCGCCAACATTATTGGTGGAATGGAATGAAGGTGGATGTGGCCAATCATGTGGCCAAGTGTTTGACGTGCCAGCAGGTGAAGGCACAACATTGTAAACCTGGTGGGATGCTACAGCCGTTAGAAATCCCAGAATGAAAATGGAAACATATTACGATGGATTTCGTAACGGGATTGCCCAGAAGCCAGAGGGGGCACGACTCTATTTGGGTGGTAGTGGACAGGCTAACCAAGTCGGCTCACTTTTTGGCAGTGCGAAAGGACTTCAAGCTGGAAAAGTGCGTGGAATTGTATGTACGGCAGATAATCCGTCTTCATGGAGTACCGGTATCGATCACCTCAGATCGTGATCCCCGGTTTACTGCTGCTTTTTGGAGAAGTCTCCAGACTGCCATGGGAACAAAGTTGCAATTCAGTACGGCCTAACATCCGCAGACGGATGGTCAGTCTGAAAGGACCATTCAGACTTTAGAGGATATGCTGAGAGCATGTGTATTAGATTTTCAGGGCAAGTGGGAAGAACAATTGCATTTAGTTGAATTTGCCTATAATAACAGCTTTCAGCAGAGCATTGGTATGGTACCGTTTGAAGCGCTTTATGGCAGAGCGTGTAGAACGTCGTTGTGTTGGGATGAAGTGGGAGAAAGAAGTGTAACGGGTCCAGAGTTAGTTAAACAGTTGGTGGAAACAGTAAGAATTATCCGAGAAAGGTTAAAGACAGCACAGAGCCGTCAGAAGAGTTATGCGGATCGAAGGCGTAGACCGTTAGAATTTCAAGTTGGTGACCATGTTTTCCTTAATATTTCATCGATGAGAGAACTATCTCGGTTTG